GAGGCACTGGAGAACCACGGGGGAAGAGGGAGGAAGACAGCGATGAGCCGGGTGGCCAAAATCGTGGTGGCGAAATCCGTTACGAAACGGCACCAGTCGACACGGAAACTGGCGCGGAAACTCAGTGCAAAAAATCATCCGGCCTCCAAGTCAGCTGTCCACCGGTATCTGCGGCAGTGCCTCCGTCTGAAGCCGCTGAAACCGCGCGTGGAGCCCAAGCTGACGGCAGCACAGCGACGAAAACGGCTGGACTTCGCTAAAAGTCGGATCAACTGGTCCATACAGGACTGGAGGCGGGTCCTGTTCAGCGACGAGTCTCCTTTTGAGCTGTTTCATCCTCCCAATCGCCAGAACGACCGTGTTTGGGCTCAGAACAGCTCAGAAGTGCCTGTCATCGAGACCGTCAAGCAGCCGGGCAAGGTCCTGGTGTGGGGCATGATGAGTTTCCGTGGCCTGTCAGACCTTCACATCGTGCCCCGCGGCCAAACCGTGACAGCGGACTTCTACGTAGAGGAGGTGATGAAGGGAACGACGGCATCAGCGATGAGACGACGGAAGGAGAACGGACCACCAACGGCCACCAAACTTCTGCCGGACATGTCACAGGCCATTTTCCAACAGGACGGTGCCCCGGCTCACAACGCCACCAAGACCCAGGAGTGGTGCCGGGCCAACTTCCCTGGCTTCTGGGCTAAAGGAGAATGGCCAGGTAACAGCCCGGACCTGTCGCCAATCGAGAACCTGTGGTCAATCGTCCAGGACAGGATGGACAAGATGGCACCAGCGTCGTCCGAAACTGCCCTCATCAGGAACCTCCGATCGGCCTGGAGCAGCATTTCTGGAGAAACTCTCGACAACCTGATGTGTGGCATGCCGGAGCGCATGCGGGCATGTGTGCGGAAGCGTGGTGGATACATCAACAAATAAATCATGAACCGGTCATTTTTTGTTTTGATGTTATTGCACGCAATGGGAGAGGACATCAATTTCGGGACACCCTGTAGACTGAGGAGTTTCTTCCTCCAAGCAGACGTTAATTAGCTATGCTTCAGCTTGCCCTTGATGTAATCAGCGCATATTGCTGTAAACAATTTATCATGTATCGACTCCCTCGGCTGTATTGTGCATTTTGACCTTTCTCAAAACACTTTGGCAAATTTTTACAAAAACCCAGCATAAAAGTCGGTGCTCGAAAAACGCCCTCTATTATCCCCATCTGAAGTTAAGGTTCAGAGGTCGCTCACTGGTGGATGACACGGTGTATTTGTGCAAGGGTACACGTCTACTATCCCCGACAACCAGAGCTGGGCGCGTTCCTCGATTTTCGGTAGTGCGTTAGCGTTCCTGCGTTCCTCCGGCCGCGGTTATTGCGTTCCTGGAATAGCGTTCCTCAATTTGATTTCGCTCGGTGCGTTAGCGTTCCTGCGTTCCTGCGTCCCAAACTATTAACCCGTATTGTATTCTGGCTCTACCAAGCAGAAAATAATACCAAAATCAGTGCAACGCAACACTGTAGCGGACAAAGTGGGCAAATCGCGCCAGTCCAACACTACAGGCGTGTTCTTCACAACCGAAGTCGTGGACAAAGAAATACCGCCGAACCACGCGGCGCGGGCCCAACCAAACACGGGGCGAATCGATCACAGAATAGCCAGAATGGCGACGCGGGGCCGAAAAGCAACTCGACATCTCTTTTCCGAATCGAATATCTGAAATACGTTTTACCAATATCATCCGTAGGGGTTTCAACAAAAATACGACCTGCTTAAAAACAATAATTAAGATGAAAGATGTATCTAATTAAAAGTTATCATATTCTTTACACATTTAATGCCTGAAACCGAATCGAATAGTTAACATCACCACTAAATCTAAACAAGCCTTCCTCGATTCGACCGACAAGTGGCGCCTCTACCGGCAAACACACGTACTCGAGTCTCGAGATTCAAGCATTTGACACGGAGGTCATTGGCAGCAATATCCAACAACTCATCTACCTATCTGGGCCTGGGGGTTCTGAGTTCTTGTTGGCATCGGACAAATTCTAGTTCGGGCACATTTTTTATTTTTTTCATGGTAAAGCAGGGTTCGCACTTCACAAAATAAGGAACGCTTCAAAATTTCGGGTGGTGCGTTCCTCTTACTTGCGTTCCTTTGAAAAACTTTGCGTTCCTGCGTTCTTGCGTTCCTAAAAAGGCGGTGCGTACGTACGCAAGAACGCAGGAACGCACTAAAGGAACGCACTTGCCCAGCTCTGCCGACAACACATGATTTCGATACACTGATGCATTACATTCGTCCAGCGTGCTTGGCACGAGAAAGCTGTGTCATTTTCCTGTTTTATGTGTTATCAAACGTGTCGAAGGTCCCGCCCAGCGTGAAAATACTCAGCATTATTGTGTTTTGGGTGCGATTAACACATGACTGATGTGTTACCAGTAGAGAACATGCCCTCACTGTGTCGATTTGTTTTCAGTGCATTTCTTCCTCGTTCAGGAGCAACGTTTTAACCCTCACCGGACCTTCAAGTTTTCTGAATACCGAGGGGGCGTTGGGGGGTTGGAAGTGAGGGAACAACCCCCTTCGCCGATTCGCCCCTAATTGAGCTAGAGCCTCACGAAAGAAACGATCGTGTCCGTCGTTACGAAATGCAGCGATTGGTCTCCGATTTTAAGGACTAGGGTCAGCCGATGACTTCTGAGGTCAGGCCAAGTGGTCCAAGTCACAGGTTCGGTTTTTGGTAAATAACTTCGCTAAAAATGATCGCAGATCCGCGATTTTAGCAGCATCGTGTTTGTCTAGCTCAGGCGTGTCGAATGGTATACAGGGTGGAAAGAAAAATATGTTCTGATTTTAACAGCCCGTGACATCAAAGCGAGTAGCAATATCTCAAAATGAATTAGTGCATTTGAATCACTTTTTCTGGAAGTTTTAAACCTGGTGTCATTCACACTCTTTCTCGCTCCTGGGCGTCCCCCACAGCACGTGTTCTGAGTAACCTCTTTTTCGCAGAATTTAGAGAATGTGTACCGCGCAACCTCCGAGATGATTTCAGCGCACAAATCGGGTTAATTCTACGTGCGACCTTCCAACTCGTCTTCATCACGTTCGGGAGACTCTCTGGGCTAATGGCTAGCACCTGCGATTTCATCAAACCCCACAGATAAAAAAAAAAACAGGGGCATCGGGCCTGAGAAGAGGGGCTGGCCATTTTGGAGTCAGGGAGGTCAAAAACAAGTTTAAAATGTGCTGCCAAAAACGATAATACGAGTATGCAACGGATACTAACTTCCTGAGCCAAAAGGGTTTATCTTATAAGTTAACCCTAGGCTAGCCTCACAATGGTCTTGCCCGGCAAAATGCATATATTTTTGTATACACTGTGCAGATTTATACTATTTGGCGCGGCTGAGCATGACAAACGTAATACCACCGAACCGCCTTCCCCTGTGACCATTTTGCGAGGTTAATCAAATCCCGACTTTGTTTTTCCCTGGCCATTAATGTTCTAGCCTTACGGGTGCAGGTGATTGTTTGAGCGCGGAAGATGCTGAATGTGAATCTTGGTTAACCCCATACTTATCATATGATAAAGAACGTCAGTGTTAGAAAGTTAATTAACAATTTTTGGGAGAGTTAAATTCAAGTCGGTATGAATCCGTCTTGACAATTTACTAGGTGGGTTTTACAGCGCTATTAGTTCGGCATGCAGTTATAAATCGTTGCTAATTTCGATCCGGATATCGTTATTCAATGCTGGCCTTTGCGTCCTCAGAAAAGTTGTTTATAGTCATGAAGGCTTGCATTGACCCATACTTTCCATTTTTCAGCACCATTATTCGCCGTAGTTGACCAGGTGTTTTTCTTCAGCTCTCCCCTGAATCATTTGGCTTAGAGTTTAGACCCATGGCGTATCACCCGCGCATCGCAAGACGCACCTACCACACACAAGTTCACGATCCCCACGAACCCACATCAGCGTCCGTTCGCTTGGTGTGTGACCCCTTGACCTTTGGCCGCGACAACTGCCAGCTTGCCGGAGCACCCCTCAGTACACGCGCTGCCCCGCCCGCTCCCCTCCCTCTCCCCCCCCCCGGGGTCGTGTCACGAAGGTTCGGGCTTACGCTACTACCGGCCGCTGCGCAGCTGTCACCTAGCGCTTGGGAATGTGTGGTCTGGTGCGGATTCAGCCAACTACCGGCTCGCGACACCAGCGCCACGTAGTGGCGACGGTACATTCTTTTTAGACATACTGTACGGGCGACCGCGCACGCGCGCCACGCAGCGCACGGCGCCGGGAGGCAGCGCACAGGTCACAGAACGCACTTGTTACGGCGCGATATTCCGTAACAATACCTTGCCTTGTGGGTGCCTACCCACATCAGCGCAACCGGCCCAGTAACTACCGAGATATTGCAATTGTTACAAAACTGACACCTCTGTTTGCACGTGGCACATCCATAAGGGGCCACACACATACATCGGGAATAGCCTAACTGCCTAATACGTGGTAGAAGGCATGAAGCTACTCTACACAAATTACTAAAAGTAAATCGGTCTCGTGGTTGCGGAGCTAGTGTAAGCTTCGCAGAGGCGTCCCGCCGGCCGACCTTCGGCCTCTTATACTCAGAAATTTATGTTATTCTTCGCAAGACTTCGCTCGCTCGTAATCAGGAACGGATTTTCCTATTCGCTCACCATTGTAGTCAGTTTGTAATACGCATTTACTCTGCTCATGTAACCCCGATCATTGTTAGAAGAGGCGTGTCGTTTCTCTCGATGTTTGTATCCCCAGTCCGCCACATATGTTCCCTCGCCTCCGGCTCCCGGTCCGCCCTCCCGGCCCCCGGTCCGCCCTCCCGGTCCGCCCGGGACCGTCACGGGTCAGGTCAGACATGGGCGCAGCGAGGTCGTTCGTTATGGCGGGGGGAGCGCTCTCAGGTGCAAATCGCAACCCAACGTGTGCGCCCCCGCTGATCTGTGTGTGCGTGTGTTGACAGGCGCTGCAGGGACTGGCGGCCGACATGAAGGGGCGCGTCATCTGTCCGCGCACACAGGAGGTCTACCCGGACTCGCAGCTGGAGAAGGTGTTCGTCATGTGACGAGCGTCCGAAGACTCCGATCTGGGTCCGACCGCGCGCGCCATTGGGCGCACAGACCGGGGGCGAGCCAAGCCGAGCCGCCCCGCGTATGGTCACCGTCTGCACTTAGCATTAGGTTCTACCAGAGAAGTATGTACGCTTTGTGATCATGTAATACATATTCAATGAACTTTTAAAGAAACATGTTTCCTGGTGGGCAGGATTGGTGTGAAATCGAATGGTGTTGACCGTGTATTAAAACTGGACAAAAGTGGTTAACGACAGCAATCAGAACACCAATGCCTATTAACTGTCCTCCGTGCGCTGCGCTGATCTGTGGCTAGGTCATTTCCTCGTCCTCGTCTTCCTCCTCCAGCTGGCAGCCTGGGCAACACGGACACGAGTTAGGCGGCAACACGGACACGAGTTGGATGGCAACACGGACACGAGTTGGACGGCAACACGGACACGAGTTGGACGGCAACACGGACACGAGTAAGGCGGCAACACGGACACGAGTTGGACGGCAACACGGACACGAGTAAGGCGGCAACACGGACACGAGTTGGACGGCAACACGCACACGAGTAAGGCGGCAACACGGACACGAGTTAGGCGGCAACACGGACACGAGTTGGATGGCAACACGGACACGAGTTGGACGGCAACACGGACACGAGTTGGACGGCAACACGCACACGAGTAAGGCGGCAACACGGACACGAGTTAGGCGGCAACACGGACACGAGTTGGACGGCAACACGGACACGAGTTGGACGGCAACACGCACACGAGTAAGGCGGCAACACGGACACGAGTTAGGCGGCAACACGGACACGAGTTGGCCGGCAACACGGACACGAGTTGGACGGCAACACGGACACGAGTTGGATGGCAACACGGACACGAGTTGGACGGCAACACGGACACGAGTTGGACGGCAACACGCACACGAGTAAGGCGGCAACACGGACACGAGTTAGGCGGCAACACGGACACGAGTTGGACGGCAACACGGACACGAGTTGGACGGCAACACGACACGAGTTAGGCGGCAACACGGACACGAATTGGACGGCAACACGGACACGAATTAGGCGGCAACACGGACACGAGCTGGACGGCAACACGGACACGAGTTGGCCGGCAACACGGACACGCGTTGGCCGGCATCTGCGCGGTTTCTGGATTCGCCTATGGTTCTGTTTAGTTCCCCACGTCAGTTTTTTTTTGGGGGGGGGTATTCTGGCTTTTAGGCCCACGCACTGGCTCTGAAGGGCCCCGCAGTGTGAATTTTTTTGTGGGTTTACCTGGAATGTGACTGAATTTTTTTGGTGGGTTTACCTGGAATGTGACAGTTTATGAAATGCTGATATTTTGTATCATCAATTTTTTATCTTCCCATGCAGCATAGCATGGGACACATACAGGGTGTCCCAAAAGTAAGGTCATCATTTGTTTTGGCCACACCGCTAAAAATACGCGATGGATAGAAATAAATAGGACATCATATGAAAGAGCATTTTATAAAATTTTATTCTGATATACATATGAGTCAATACATTGGCTCGTAGCCCCACATTTGCTGCTTTTCTACATGGCTACCATTTCGGGCCGCGTGCACGAATAGACTGCGTTTTACTTCCTCCACTATTCTCGAGCGATTCTCTGGTGAGATGCCGCTTATGTTTGCTCGGAGGGATCATCCTTTAGTTCTTCCCGGCTCGTTGGGTTGTCCTAAAAGACAACCTTTCCGTTGTGCCTACCCAGAGAATAAAAATATGAAGGTGTAACGTCAGGTGACCGCGGAGGCCATTCAATGGCGTTGCCCTGACTGAAAATTACGCGATCTCACATCCACTCTCGGAGACAATGCATAATCTTCAGGACGGGGCAAGCATAGTATCCATCCTGCTGAAACCACTGCTGGTTGATGGTGTCGGCACAGCTGCGTTGCGACGAGCGGAAGAACCACTGGGAGGACTCTCGGCCACCTCTCTTGATTTATTTTCACCCGATTCCCGCTGTCGTCCTCAGGACCTCGAAGCACAGGTGGCTAAGTATACAGGGTGTCCCATAAGTTCCTTCTCACCTAAATTTTTCTTTAAGAGGCTCTCTTATTTAAAGCCACGCTTAATTTATTTTGAAACTGAGCTTTTGGGGTTGCCATGGCAACTGTGAATGTGCTCCACGGTAACTAATTCGTCTAGACAAAATATTTTTTGCCAGAGAGTTCACTTCCTTTGGAGACGGCTTACGCCGCAAAATAGAGGTCTCTGATACGGGAACGTCTCGGTATTTAGACTGCACTGGGCCATTCACGACGGTTGAGGGTGATTGAGGCCATCCAGTATGTAGCCAATGTCTGTCGCTAACTGGACGCACAGTCAACAAGTGACGCCGATGATTTGTCGGGAGTCAATCGCTGCAAGTTTATGCTCTTTTTTTGTCAGCTTTCACGAGTGAGCCATGTGGCCAAAACTGTGTGGCGCCAAAATGGCCGTCAAAAAGGTCTCAGCGTTAGAAAGTTGGTAGACAGGCTTTCCAGGATGTATTACCAGCTGTCTAAGAGTATCATTTCGGGGTATCTAACTCAAGGTGACTTAAGCTCTACTTACCGGAGGGCTAAAAACAGTCAAAAACGTCTTAAAATGGCCAAACATGTGTTTCGTTATGCCTGAGGCTAAAAAAACTGGAGGGTCGATGACATCAATGTGGTCATCTGGACTACCTAGTCCGTGCTCGAGATAAAACACCCGTCCAAACCCCAAAACGGTCCCATATGGGCGACGGAAAAGGCCTTTGTATCATCCAGCTTTATTCCTATGCAAAAGGCCAGGGTCACGGTAATGTGGGGTAATATGCGTCCAGACACTGATCACGTTGCGAATGATGCTCCAGGAACAGTCTTGGGACGCAGAATGCTTCTCCAAGAAGATCTAGGAGGAGTTTCAGCTTTCTAGCTTAACTTGAACCGCAAGTATGACAACATTTTTTTAGTAGAAAATGGCATCCGGGAGGTCGTAGGCCCATCTTCAAGCAAGACAGTGCATCAGTGCAGAGGTCAAGCAAAGCATAAAAGCAGTGCCAGGAGACTGTGATAGGCGTGTGTGGCAAGATCACATCCCAGGCAACTCATGGGATCCAAATTTCATAAAAATGTGTTGGGAATATTGAAATCGAGGCTCGTCGAAGAGAAGCGGTGTTCCAGCATTGAGGAGCTCACGGCGCATGCCAAGTCCGTCTGGGCTAACTTCAAGCCTGCTATGCTGCCAAACATGCCGGTTGGCATGTCGCAGCATGTATTCATGTGTTTGCCTATGAAATGGGGAGCACATTGAGGGGTTATAAACATATCAAAACGCAATGTACTATGTTTTACATGCAAATAAAAGGTGAGAACGAACTTATGGGACACCCTGTACATGCCCTGTACGTACATTATACATTTTTTCTGACATTTTACCGGTTGAGACGAAACTATGCATGAGTTCAGAGATAGGGCGAGCTGATAGGTTCTGCTTAGGGCCGAAAACTGGGCGGTATTTACCCTTTGTTTTAATGACGGACCCTCTCTAAGAGTTGAAGTTCGACCTTCTCAGTTTTATGCCTACTGCTCGGTGTAGTTATGATAAAAAATGGTTTAAGCATGCAAGAAAATAATTTTATGGATGTACCTTGCACGTGTTAAAATTGGAAGTGATTCGGACTCTTACTTCTCGAGATATTTAAGTTTTAAATAATGACCTTACTTTTGGGACACCCTGTACACAAAGACACATACCGTAAACGGGGGTGATTTTGCCATGTTTTCAACTTTAGGGGCGTTCCACGACAAATCGACAAATAAAAAATTAAATTTGCACCCTCATATTCTATTCTTCGTTGAAAACTGGTGTAAGGGGTTGTGATGGGCGGGGAAGCCAGCTGTGGCAAGGATTTTTTTCTTCGAACAACGGTTTCCGAGAAATAGCCTCGGGCAATTCCTGGAGGACGCGCTGCAGCCCTATGTTTGGCGGCCTATAACTCAGAAACTTTTGGTTTTCTATGATAAAAACTTTATATGGTTAAACTTACAATCAACCAACAAACATTTTGTCTATCTCGGATTTTCAATTTTTGAAAATTTTGATCACGTGACCTTTTGACCTATTTTTCGAAGAGTGGCCTTGATATTTTCCCCACTGAAAGTTAAAGTTTTGTCTGATGACGATTAAAGCCTTATCAATTGTCATTCATATGCGACAATAAAAAAGTGGTTATCGCCCTGCGTTGACCTCAGGTCAGGTCATTTTTATGACCTGTCCATTATTACGAGCGGGAGCGTCAGCGAGATCTCGATAACAAAGCAAGATAGCGACAAGCGGTAAACGGTACAGGGTACACACGGATAAGGTTTATAATTTTTACTGAGGTCATTTTCAGGTCAGGTCAAAGATGACGTCACAGGAGCAAAAAGGAAGTCAAAATAGCGGCACTACATATATATACAGGGTGTAACGAAATTATCCGGACATCTTTCTTCGTGCTGTAATTAAGAAGCAAGACATTCTGATATTTTCCCTTTTGAATTATTATATAGCCACCTTTCATAAGAGCGCAGGTACACATTTTTGGAGCATTCCAGCCACTGGATTTTCCAGCACAGTGGGTTTCATATAGAGTAGCGCCTTACTAACCTGTGCCCGCAGTTGGGCGGCGCTGGTGGCGGGTGTCCCCTCATTCATCTCCTGATGGACAATAGTCCATAATATATCGACGGAATTGCATGGGAACTATTTCCAAGCCATAGCCCTTTAGCCCAGAAGAACAAAAAGGTCCTCTCGGCATCACTTCTCATTCTGCTAGGGACTTGAAGGTGGTGCGCCGCCCCGTATTAAGACTGCGCGGGTTGAATCAGGTATCGGTACACGTTCAGAAACCGAGCCATCCTGTGCCGTCTGGTTGAGTGGCTCCAACCAATCGCTAGCCAGGATGTTGCGCCGGTAATACTCGTCACTGATAGTGGTTTTCTGTGTCGTCATGAACAGCTTGAATATTACACAGCAGCTGAACATGCTCCAGGTCTGGATTTTGGCCGGATGTTTGACGCCGGCGACGGCCGGCATATTCGAGTTGCTGGCAGCCCACACATGGCCGATTTGACGGTTCAACGGGCATCGCAGCTCGAACAGCTTCCCATCCGACCAGGCCAGCTCATTCGTGTCTTCCTTCGACCAGTGGACACGCCCTGGCCTGAGGCCAAAGGTGGTGGACTGGTTGTTTTCCCGTCAATTTCATTGTCTTTTCCAGTTTGAAGGGCAGTAAAACCAAGCTAAAGGGCGGGTAACGGTGAATCATGATGTGGGACCTCTTATTATCTACCTTGGTAAGAATTCGAGTCA